GCCTCTGCCCTGCTCCTGGGGGATGGCAGGAGGAGGGGGGTGACTGGGCAGGGGAGGGGGCCCAGACAGACCCATCACTTACCCTCTTCCCTGGGGGACCTGGGGGGCCGTTCTCTCCTGTCGGGCCTGGCGAGCCCTAGAGAGAGAGAGAGAGACCTGGAGTTAGGAGAAACAATCTAATCCGGAACGTCATGGAGAGGGGAACCTGGAGAGGTGGGGAACCTGATCTAGAACATCATGGAGATGAGAACCCAGAGATGGGGAGTCTGATCCGGAACAGAGGAACCCAGAGTACAGTCAGAGAGGGGGGATCCTGGAACATTCGGAGGCGGGTTCCAATCCAGAACGTCGGAGGGGCCAGTCAGGAAGGTCGGACAGAAAGGAATCCAGAGAGGGACCCGATCTGGAGCATGGGGGGCATGCAAAGTCTGATCAGACTGTTGGGGGTCTCGGGGGGGGTGGATCCCGTCTGGAGCGCTGGGGACACAGGTGGGGTGTCCAGTCCAAGTGTCAGGAGAGATCCATTCCAAACCATTGTGGGGGGGACCCCGTCAGGGCCCCGCTCGGGATCCCTGGTCACTCACCAGCTGCCCGGGTTCCCCGTCCTCGCCTCGTTCGCCCTTCGCCCCGTCCTGGCCCTGGAGGGGGAAAACAAGCCCTGAGTCAGCAGAGGCCTCGGCAGGGACCCCAAACCCCAGCCGGGGGGGCCCCAAACCCTGCTGCATTCCCCCTGGGTCCCCACCCTCCCTCCCAGCACCTCCCCTGCCCCCAGACTGCAGGGACCTGGAGGCCAACGCATGGGGCTGATACTTACCCTGGGGCCCATTTCACCTGGGGGGCCCGGATCCCCTGGGAAACCAACAGGACCCTGGAAGAGACAGGAATGAATTAGCCTGAGCCACCTCCTCCTCCAGCCAGGCACAGAACCCAGGAGTCCTGGCTCCCAACACCCCCTGCCCCACTCTAACCACCAGCCCCCACTCCCCTCCCAGAGCTGAGGATAGAACCTAGCTGTCCTGGCTCCCAGCCCCCCTGCTTTGACCCACCAGCCCCAACTCCCCTCCCAGAGCCGGGAAGAGAACCCAGGAGTCCTGGCTCCCAGCCCCCCCTCCCTTCCCCCTCCCAGAGCTGGGAGAGAACCCAGGAGTCCTGGCTCCCAACCCCCCTGCTCTAACCACTAGCCCCCAACTCCCTTCCCAGAGCTGGGAGAGAACCCAGGAGTCCTGGCTCCCCCTCCCCCGGTCTCTGCACCACGTCACTCACGGGGTTCCCCTTGGGCCCATCGTCTCCGGGGGGCCCTTTCCCTCCAGGGGGTCCAGCTGTGCCAGCGGCTCCGGTTTCTCCTTTCTCCCCTCGCTCTCCTCGCGGGCCCTGGGAAGGAGACAGAGCGGGGGGGGGGGGGGAGGTCAGTGTGGGGTCTGTGGGCACAGGGAGGATGGGGGGAGTGGCCTGGTAGGGGGCAGAGCTCTGGGGGTCAGCTCTAAGGGAGGGATGCCAGCCCCAGTGTTCCTTGGGGAGATCCCCCATGTGTGCGGGGGAAGGAGTCTCTTGGAGGGGGCCTGTCAGGGGGGAGGGGTCCTGGCCCCAGTGTCTCTGGGGTGGGGTTCACAGCCTGGGGAGAGGGGAGCACTCCAGACTTGTGGTGGGGTTCCTGTTGGAAGAAAGGGGCTCCGGGGGGGTCCTCACTGGGTGGGGGAAAGGCCAGGCCCAGCCCTGGGTCTCCCCCCCCAAGGCATGGGGATAGATGGGCCCTGAGGGGCCCTTGCCTGTGGGGAGCAGCGCTCTGGGGGTTCCTGACAGGAGATACCCCCCAAGGAGGGGTCCCTGGCTGGAGGCTGACAGCTCTGAGTGGGCCTTAATAAGGAAGAGACAGAGGTGGGGAGCTGGCCACTGATTCCCATAGGGGGCAGGGCCCCAGTAGAGGGGATGAAGGAGGCTCGGGGGGCTCCTTGGTGGGGGATGGAGCGGGGGCCTCCCATGGGATAGCGGCTGTGCCGCCAGGTGGGGGCGAGGACTCGGGGGGGTAGGAGAGGGACAAACGGGGGGCGGGAGGTTCCTGGGGGGTTAGTGGCCATGCTGCCAGGTAGGGTGTGCGAGGGGCAGGGGGGCCCAAAGACTCACCTTGACTCCTGGCTCCCCGGGGATGCCGGGGGCCCCCGACTCGCCAGGCTCACCCTGAAATGAGAGAGACGTCAGCACCCGCGCTCCGACCAGTCCCCCCTGGACGGTCCCGGGGACACAGCACCCGACAGGCCCTGTGTCACTAGACCCCACTCCTCTCCCCTCCCTGAGCTGGGACAGAACCCAGGAGTCCTGGCCCCGCTCCCCTCCCAGAGCCGGGACAGAACCCAGGAGTCCTGGCTATACTCCCCTCCCGGAGCCGGGACAGAACCCAGGAGTCCTGGCTATACTCCCCTCCCTGAGCTGGGACAGAACCCAGGAGTCCTGGCCCCGCTCCCCTCCCAGAGCTGGGACAGAAC